AACTCAGGACACTCAGTGTGAAAAAGAAGGTGACAGGGCGATACATTGGACAAGATCAACATGATCTGTCTACGTGTCGGGAAGACTAGGAGGATAGAGCATTGGGGCACCTGATTCACCCTGCAGGGACTGTGGCTGAGTTTTGAGAGGACCCCTTCTCCTGCCACAGGTTCTGCCTCGATGGACCTCTGTCCCTCTAGGGACATTACCTGGAGTTTGTGCAAAGTCATTGCACCGGACAACAGGCACAGTAGGGATTGGGCAGCAGCCAATCCCGGGTTTCTATAGCTAAATTCATCCTGTGCTCTTAGGTGTATGGTGCCAGGTCAGCACAGGACTCAGCTTTGCAAAGTGGCCTTCACATCATACCCACTGGGCTGGGGAGGGAGTAGACTAACTGGACAGTCCTCTGAGCCATACCCTGAGACTGGAAGCCAAGTGCCCCTCCCCTACAGCGCAATAGGATTTGAGCCCAGGAGTTGATTGGGGCACTTCAGGCTCCAACCTGGGAGGCTTTGGGTGATTGCTCCAGTAGGTCCTGGAGGCAATGGGGAGAATGCCATGGTCCCCGAGGTGTTGGAACCAATCTCCACCTGCATGACTTGGCATCTGCACAATCCCCAAGCCTGTGGAATGGCCTGCCACCTGCTCAGCCCTGACCTCTCCTTCCATGTTGGATCACCCTGCTGCCCTCATGGCCCTCCTTCCAGTTCTGAGGTCCTGCTCAGAAGGTCTGTTTCTGTCTTGAACTAACCCAGTCATTTAAAGAGGCAGAGAAGGGAATAAAAAAGGTAGAGCAATCAGGCAGAGAGGTATGGGACTATGCAAAGCGAACTAACATATGAATTATAGGTATCCCTGAGGGAGAAGAAAGAGCTAAATAGAGGAAAAAATCTATTCAAGGGAATTATTGAGGAAAAGTCCCCTGGTATTCCCCAGAGATCCAGATCCAGATACAAGATGGTCATTAAACACTGGAAAGATTCATAGCAAATAGGACATCTCCAAGACACATAGTAATCAACCTGGCCAAAGTCAAAATGAAAAAGAAATTTCTACAAGCAGCTAGACATAAACAACACCTGACCTACAAAGAAAACCCCTCAGGCTAACAGCAGACTTCTCAGCAGAAACCTTACAAGCCAGGAGGGAGTGGGGTCCCATCTTCAATCTTCTTAAGCAGAACCATTGCCAGCTTAGATTTTGTATTGTGCAGACCAAGTTTCAAAATGATGGAGAAATTAAGTCTTTTCCAGATAGGCAAACACTGAGAACATTTGTCATGACCAGACCTACCCTTCAGGAAATACTTAGAACTGCATTATATATGAATCAGCACAATAGACACACACCAGTGTAAAATCACCCAAAAAAGCTAAAGCTGACAACTCCTATAAAACAATAGCACCAAAAGGAAAACAAAGCAATGTGGTACTACCCAACATGACAAACAGAACAGCATCCCACATATCAATTCTCTCTCTTAACGTTAATAGTTTAAATGCACCACTCAAAAGACAAAGGCTGGCTCAATGGATGAAAAAACAGAACACAAGTACCTGCTGTCTTCAGAAGACACATCTAAACTGCAAGGATGCACACAGGCTCAATGTGAAAGGATGGAAAAAAATATTCCACACAAATGGAAACCAAAAGACAGAGAATGTAGTTATTCTCACATCAGACAAAATTTACTTTAAATCAACAATGGTAAAGAAAGACAAAGATGATCATTATATAATGGTAAAGGGAGTAATTCAACAAGAAGACATAATAATACTAAATATATATATGCACCTAACACAGAAGCTTCCAGATATAGAAATTCTATTAAAGCTAAGCAAGAAAATAAATAGTGGCATCATAATTGCCAGGGTCTTTAACACCCCACTGTCAGGCCTGGATAATTCAAAAGCAGAAAATAAATAAAGAAACACTAGACATAAATGGGACCTTAAAACAAATAGACCTACAAATGTTCTACAACAAAACTTTTGAATATACATTCTTCTCACCAGCATATGGGACATTCTCCAAGATTTCTCCAAGAGTGATCATATCTTAGGCCACAAACCATGTCTCAACAAATTTTAAAAAAATCAAAATCATATCATGTATCTTCTCAGACCATAGTGGAATAAAGCTAGAAATCAATTCCAAGAGTAGCATTCAATTCTCCACAAGGTCATGAAAATTAAATAATTGGCTGCTAAAAGATTATTGGGTTGATAATGAAAATAAGATGAAAATCAAATGATTCCTTGAACTGAATGACAAAGGGAACACAAGCGATCAAAATCTATGCGATTCAGCAAAAGCATTCCTAAGGGGAAAATTCATAGCTTTAACTGCTCACATCAAAAAGTCAGAAAGATCACAAATTAACAATCTAATATCATATCTCAAGGAATTAGAAAAGGAAGAGCAAACCAAACCAAAAGCCAGAAGAAGAAAAGCAATAACAAAGGTCAGAGCAGAACTAAATGAAATCAAAAACAAAACAAAAAAATTGCAAAAGTTCAGTGAAATAAAAAGTCAGTACGTTGAAAAGATAAACAAAATTTATAGACCTCTTGCTATAATAGATTAACCAGGAATAGAAGAGAAAGAACCCAAATAAGCTCTATCAGAAATGAAAAAGGAGATAATACAACTGGTGATAGCACAGAAATATAAAACATCATCCATGAATACTGTGAGAATCTCTGTACACATAACCTAGAAAATGTAGAGGAAATGGAAAAATTCCTGGAAACATACAACCTTCTAAGACTCAATAAGGAAGAAACAGAACTCCTGGACAGACCAATAACAAGCAGTGAGATTGAATCAGCAATAAAAACTCTTCCAATAAATGAATAAATAAATAAGGCCCGGGTTAGATACATTCACAGCCAAACTCTACCATATCTACAAAGAATAACTTGTACCCACACTGCAGAAATTATTTGATAACATTGAGAAGAAGGGACTCCCCTCCAACTCATTCTACAAAGCCAGTATCACCTTGATACCAAAGCCAGGAAAAAAGATAACTATAGATCAATATCGCTTATGACCATAGATAAAAAAAAATCCTCAATAAAATACTAGCAAACTGAATTCAACAGCATACAAAAAAAAAATAATCCACTATGACCAAATGGGCTTCATCTCACGAAGTGGGATGCAATTATGATTCAACATATGTAAATCAATAAATGGGGTTCACTACATAAACAGAAGCAAAAACAGAGACCATATGATCATCTCAATAGATGCAGAAAAAGCATTTGACAAAATTCAGCACCCTTTAATGACAAAAACCCTCAACAAACTAGGCATAGAACAAATATATCTCAAAATTATAAAAGCCATGTGATGCAAACCCATAGCCAACATCATACTCAATGGGGAAAAGTTGAAAGCATTCTGCCTAAGAACTGGAACAAGAACAGGGCGCTCACTGTCACCACTTCTATTCAACATAGTGCTGGAAGTCTTAGCCAGAGCAATCAGGCAAGAAAAAGAAAGAAATGGTTTCCAAATTGGGAAAGAGGAGATCGAACATTGCTTTTTGCTGATGATATAATTGTATGTCTAAAGAACCCCAAAGACTCCACCAAGAGACTCCTGGACTTGATAAATAAATTCAGCAGTCTCGGGTTATAAAAATAAATGTTCACAAATCAGTAGCATTTCTATATGCCAATAACAGCCAAGCTGTGGGTCAAATCGAAGACTTAATGCCATTCACAATAGCTACAAAGAAAATAAAATACCTAGGAATATAGTTAACCAAGGAAATGAACGACATCTACAAGGAGAACTATGAAACACTGAGGAAAGAAAACACAGACCTCACAAACAATTGGGGAAACATCATGCTCATGGATTGGTAGTTGGTAGAATCAACATTTTTAAAATGTCCATACTAACCAATATATTACTCTGTAATATATTGGAACTAAGTGATCGACATGCAAGTGCATAGAGAGAAGTAAAAGTCATTGGAAATCAAGCAGGGGAGAGGGGGAGGAGAGGAGGGGCAAAAATCCCCTTAAGGGGTACAATGAACACTAATCAGGTGATGGGCACATTTATAGTCCTGACTTAAGCCATGTAACAAAAACATTTGTATCCCCTCAGCATTTTGAAATAAACATAAATAAAAAATATAAAATTGCAAGAGAAAACAAAATGGAAAGAAATAACAACACATGACATATAATTAATTTTATAAAATTCTAAAGATGTCTATTAATAATAAAAATAAGATGGAAAATACAATAGAAGAATGTACAAGTACAAATACTTCTTCACAAAAGGAGAAAAATCAATAAACTTTTTTTTATTGTTCAAAGTATCAATAAGTATGTACTTCACTAATATTTAAAGAATCCATAGCATATATTTTTAGTATCCTAGAAAATTCCAGACAATCAGCAAATGTAAAGGATTTTATTGTCATTAAGTCAGTGAAATTCAGTTTCCTCATTTTTCCAGCTTATGTGGTGTTCAGCCTATATGCGGTCTCTCTACTTGAAGGAGGGACAACATAAGACTAGCAATATCCCATATTCTCATATGATTCTACATGTAAGTCTAGAATGTTTTGGAATTTTCTAGATTTCCTATATAAGAAACAATGCTTTACCTGCATTGAGATGTTCTGTAATTTTAACATGGAAATGAATAATCAACATTGTTCAAAATTTAATTTTTGAAGACAGTCTTAAATGATTGATAGTTATGCCTCCACCACTATGAAACTCAGAGTATTATTAAAAAGAACCTTCCCCTCTTTCTTAATACTAAATTCAGGCTCTTGTAGATCTTTCAGAATTTCTGCTTTGAGATCAGGTGGTGCTGTTGAGTTAAAGTTGCAGGTTTCAGTCAAAAAGTCCCAAAGCAGGTCTCCATTTTCATTACCATCAATAAAGCAGTCAGATATGTCCATGACGGACAGAAGGTCATGACACTTATACTTCAACCCCAGGTTGTCAAGCATCTGAGTGAGGTCGGACGATGTGACATATTGGCAGAGGTCATTCTGGGGGAAGCGGGATCTGTACTTTTTCCACAGCTTGTCCCAGCCACTGGTTCCTGTGCAATAGAAGAAAGTTCATACTTTCATGTATTCTTTCTTTCATTTGTCTTCTGCCAGGCAGTACGCTAGATGCTTGCAATGAAGCAGTAAACAAAATAATATTCTTTCCCTTTGTGGAGCTCACAATTCAAGGAGGTGGGGGAGAGAAAATTAAATAAATAGGTAAAGATATCATATATCAGATGGTGATAATTGCTAAATGAAAAATTAATCTGAGTAAGGGATAAGGAGGGTTAAAATGTTGAATGGGCTGTTGTTTTAGCTATGGTGGACACAGAGAATCTCTCTAGCAATGTGACATTTGAGCAGTGACTTCGCAGAGCACCATGTGGATATCAGAGGGAAGATGACTCCAGGGAGAGAGAGGAGCACTTGCAAAGGGCCTGAAGCAGGAACAAGGTTGGCACACTTAAGAACTGGCCAGGAAGCTAGTGAGATTGGAGATGAGTGAGCGAGGGGCAGAGGGCAAGGAGATGAGGTTGGATGGGTGGGAGTGGACGAGGTACCAGATCATGGGGGACACGATGGGAAACCCCTGTAGTGCTTCTAATAGAACTTGATGGACCAATGGATGTGTTCTAAATCTGCATTGTCCAGTATGGCAGCCATTCACCACTTGTGGCTAAGGAGCACCTGCAATGTGGCTAGTGTGATTGAGGAAGTGAATTTTTACTTTCATTTCATTTTGATTAATTTCAATTCCAACTTCCATCCCCAAATGCAGCTTCCATATTGGATAGCACAACATTAGGGTGATTTGATTTGCATTTTAATAAAATCACCCTGGTCATACAGGGTGAAATTAGATGATGAGGCATGAGGGCAGACGTGGGGAGAAAAGCGTGAAGGCTCCTGCAATCACCTGGGATATGAGTGGGATACCCAGTGAGCTGGGCGGTGAAGACAAGTGGTTGAAAGTTTTTATACATTTATGCTCCTAGATCCCATGGGGCTGGCCAAGAATTTGGATGTAGGATGTGGGCAAGGGAAAAGAGTCAGTGAAGACCCTAACAATTTTTGCCTGAGCACCTGAAAAGACAGAATTGCCATTATTGGACATGAGAAGAATGAAGACAACTTTAAATGTATCACAAGGCCTCTGGGTTTGGGATTGTAAATTTGAAATACTTTTGAAGATTTAGGTGGTGATATGAGGGAGGTAGTTATTTGCAATTCTTTCTGTTTTTAAATGGCACATTAGTTTTATTTTTGTTTATTTCTGCACATGTGCTTTTTACAAATGGTCATAATTTGCTCTGTAGAGTCTTGAACACAATAAACTGGAGAGGATCTATAAATAAAAATGGAAATGGAAAGAAAGAGGAGGGTAAATAAATTATGATTTACTCAAACCAAAGATGGGATAGGTTCTCATGCCTATATACCACTTACAAGATGCTACCTTGCACTGCCAATAACTAGGTTGATTTCTACAAATTTTGCCCCCAAGTTTAGAAGACATTTTAGCAATGTCTGTAGTATTTAATTGGAAATCCAGCTCATTAGAGAAGCTAAGAGATGCACTAGTATGTGAGGGAGAGCAATATGGGCTGAACTCTTCTTCTGACACTTTATAAATGAGATGAGGCTTGCTATGTAGTCTCTCAGAACCTCAGTTTCCTCATCTGTAAAATGAGTATTACCATACTTACCTTGAATGCAACTGCAAATATGAAATGAGATAGATGATTTAAGTGAATCATTGCACAATGGTAAGCATGGGGCAGATGTGTAATTAGTACTTATAAAATAAATGAATTTGTAGCCTAGTGTACTTCCATTGGTTGTGATCTTGAGACTGAAAAAGCATACTTGCTATTGAGAAATCTATGTAATAATAATAATGAGCTTCTATGTATGGACCTTCTGATACATGTTTGTTCTATACAGTCAGTGCAGGGCAGCAATTGAGAGCATGGTTGTCTAAAGCCCGAGTATACTGCCTGAGTATGAAGCCTGACTTTCCCTCTTATTAGCTTTATGAACCTGTGTTTCAGTTTTGTCATCTGTAAAACAGGGATGACAATATATTCATAGAATTACTCAAGAATTAACTGAGTTAATAAAGCAACCGCACTTAGAGCCCTGACTGGCACATAGTAAACATTGCTGAAGTGATAGGAAATTAAACTGGACTTGGCCAAAGCAATATAAGGGAGAACCTATATTTTCTATATGTTTCCAGGATTAAAAGTGAAGATTTCAATGCCCTGAGTTTTCTGTGGTCCCCAAATTGCCTTTCTGATGTAATGAAAGCAATTGGCTCTCCAGAGAAATACACAAACAATACATATACACACAGTTCTATATATAATTATAGAATGTTCGAAGACTCTTGGCTCTCAGCCATAGGTTAAGCTAAAGTTCTCAGATTTAACTCAACACAAGAGATTATGCAAGACAGGAAATAGTAAATAATAAATAGCCTAGGATAATTGACGGTCTACTAATATTTCAAAAGAGGAAGCAATAACTGCAGGCTGTGCTCTAGGAGAAGGTAGAATTGGAATGAAGCAAAAAAAATATAATAAAATCTCAGTTTAATAAAAAATGTGAGGGTTGTGAGTATGTATTAAAGAATCTTTCATTTCAAAGACAGCAGATAGTCTTCCCAAATATGAGTCAGCTTTCAAACAAGACTGTATAAGAAAATAAGCATTTTAGTGGCTGAAGAGAGGTTTTGTTATCATCATCATTATTATTTTTAACCTGGCAGAGAAAAAAGAACCAAACACTAATTGCAGAAATTTTGCTGGTGTCAGTGCTGTGACTTGCTGCCATTTCTGAGCTGAGCAATTACACACTCCTGGACTGATGCATTATCATAATGGCTCTCGGTAGGCACAACATATGGTGTTACTTTTGTTTTCAATATGACATAAACCAGGTTCTTTTTTTCCCACTGTATGAAAAATAACACACCATGATTTGCTTCCTTCCTTAGTCAGGTAAAGAGAGGACAAACAGTAAACTACAGTGCTGGCTCATCTCCCGTAACCAGACAGGTTGCCTTTTAAATACCAGCTCTCCCAACTAATGTCGGGTTACAACGTTAGCAGAAAAACATGCCACTGACATCATTTTATTGTGGAATAATCCTCATTTTTTAAAAAAATCAATTCTTTGTTCTTATTTCTCTTCTTTTTCATCCCCAAATCAAATTTCTTTCATCTTCATAAGGAGGAATTTCGGTTAGTTAACACTAAATGAACATTTACGGAGCTGAGCTAGTTCTGTCGTGGATACTTAGGAACACAGAGGATATATTGTTTTAACTCAAGCAACTTGTATTCTAATAGGCTGACCAGCAAATGTCATTATTTAATTCTAATTTCAATTTCTTTTTCTTTTCCTAGTTAGTTTTACTTGTTTCTCCTCATTGCTTTTGTCTGGTTATTTCCATGTACAGTGTGCATGTGTGTATGTGTGTGTGTTTGTGTGTATGTATATGTATACTCTTTATTGAGCCTTTTGTTTCTGTTTACTAAACCTATCTTCAAATCTCCAAAACTTTCTATGTTCTCTGATTTCATGTCTATCTTCAGGTCAGTTTTAGCTGAAATATATTCTTTTTTTGGATGGATATCCAGAGCTAATTCTGGTTCTGATGTCAGGAAGCAGAGATAATAAACAATTATTCAGTTCAATTAAAACACATTTACTGAGTATTGTCTATGTGTCAAGATCTTTGCAAAGATCTGGAAATAGAGGTGAGAGGCAGAGACCCTGTTCTAAAGGATCTCTTCTGAAACTCCCTATATACCTCTGATAGGAAATTAGCACATTGCTGAAAATGTTTGCATGTCTGAATCCTTCCGCCCTCCCCCCCCATTAGGAACTTTTCAAAGACAGAAAAAAAAAGTCACCTTTGGAAACTCCAGAGCCTACCAGGGACTGGGAGTAGAGCTCAATAAGCTGCAATCACCAGAGCCACACATGGACTGTCCAATGCAGCAAACATGGAATCGAGAGTATAGGCTGTGGTTTGAACATGGCTGAGCATGCATGGCGCCTTGGCCAAACTAGGTGCTCTGCACAATTAAGTCTAGAAACTGACTCCATATTTCATTCTCTTAAAATCTAATAAATTTCAAACAAAAGGGTTCATATGGTGCTCAAATAACTGAGTAATTCAGTCTATTCAGAGAAAGAACTCATTAATTCCATATGAGGTTGGTAATTGACTGAGGTTGGCAGGTAAGACCTGAGCTATGTGGCATGGCTAAGATGACCATTTAGAGCAAGATGTTGACCCAGACACACCACTGATCTACCTAGATGAGATCTTGGTTGGATGAGTGCTCTTAGAAATTTAATTTAGGGAATATTTTTGGGCCATTCTGAATCTGCCTATAATGAGTGCTCAGTTGTCTGCATTGCAGAGCAGCAATGGATGACAATATTATCCCAGAACACAGGAAATACACACAGAAATGTCTTTACTTTTAGATAATTATGATGCAAATTCCATTTGACAAGTGGCCACAAGAATCTTAATAAAAATAAAGCCTCGTGTGAACCATTTCGGTGGAGGTGTTCCAAATTTTAGGGCAATATTCAAATGTAAGACATGTTTGAATCTGTCAAGTAGATGGAGGATGGGGTTTCAGAACTTATAGTTTGGGCTAATCAGGCAATTTAAGCACTGGTTCCTACCCATGGGTGAGGTGGGGTGTAAACGGACACCTCAGATGAGTTTCTCAAGCTGTTTCTATCCACAGACTAGTCTAGTAGGTATGGATTTGTAACTATATTCTCAAATGACAATGACTAGTGTTAATAATAGTGTGGATCATTCCTATACACAATCACATAATATTGATATTAAAAACTCCTATTGGAAATTTCTTGTGATTAAATTTATTTCCAACTTTGGAACCTAGGCTTGATCTATTTTTCTAAAAGCTGACCCACATATTTTTATTGGGTATAGTAATACAACAAAGCAATTATTGATTTTTCTTTAAAGGAAAAAAACTACAGTCACTTTCATACACTGAGAGGGCAACAGAATTTATCTCAGGGAAATGTGTTAAGACGTGTTCACGGGTACACAGGTTTGTTTACTGGTGACAGGGGTAAAGCAAAAGAGACCTTAACTGCTCTAGAAGCAGCGGGGACAGGGAAGTGAGGAGTCGGCATCCTGGCGCTGAGGTCAGAGAGAAGTTCTGAGAGTAGCTCCAAGGGAGGTGGGCCAAATGGAGCAGGAGAAAGGTGGGAAAGAGAGTGGCCGTGGAACTTTGATGCTGAATTCTGTTCTTTGCTCTTCTTCCTCCCTACAGGTCCTAACATCTCCCAGAAGCAAAGAATGGTGCTTCGGAGAATGAAGGAGGTAGAGCTATGTTTGTGCTTGGGGCCACACCAAACCGGATGAGAAAAGGCAGCTGCAACGCATGCCAGATTTGGAGAGAAGAGATCAAAATTGAACTGGGAGCAGAAATCTGGAGCCAACAGTGGCGAGCACCCATCAGAAGCATGTAAGCGTGGCGCCCAGAAGTCCTCAGAAGCAAAGGAGAGATGGGAAGGGGATGAACTACCCAAGTTACTTGGAATGAGAGCTCCAGTCATTTACTCTGGATTTTTAAGAATTAAGTGTGAGCCCTTAAGACTGGGGAACCTGGAGACATTCCAGTTACACTAAGTTGATGATAGTGATCAACATTATTTGATAATTCTATTTCTCTTTTCAGGTGAAATCTTTAATTGCAAAATAAACTATATTGGGAAAGATGTTTTATTTTCAAAATTTTTAACTTATATTTAATTGATTTATGTAACACGTCTCATCAATACAGGCAAAACTGATTTTTTTTAGCCTTAGGAGAGAGAGAAGTGAAAAATTCACAATAAAATAACTAAATCTATTTTCTCCTTTTGCTAAGTGGTTCTTCTTTTAAAAGTAAATGGATGTGGTATTTCTTCTATAGCTGTGCAAACCTCTTCTAAGAAGTACGTATGGTAAAGGAAGGAGGTTATCAGGGTCCTTCTAATAAATAGACGATTGTCATTTGTTGCATTCTTATGTCTAGGAATAGTATCTATTAACAATGTTTTCCTCTTTGGAACAGCTGTTTCCTATGTTGTAAACAGTAATGAAAAATTGTGAACTGCTTATTGAGGAAGTGAATAAAATATTTCCACCATCGAATACATTGAATAAACTTTACTCTCTTTCTTTTAATTTTTCCCCGTGAATGTATATATAGATATTTATAAGCCACATATATGAATAGATGCAATATAGTGGACATATGATTATCCAGAAATAGCCCTTGAATAAACTGAGATGCAGAGATCAAGTTCGCACAGCTACAAGTACCTCAGTGCTCTTGCTCCAGGTGTTATCATACATTTCACTGGGTCTAGTTTGGTTTTCACGTTTCTTGATGTCAATAAACCATGGATTATATTAACTCATTCCTGATATAGCCAGTAGAAGGCTGTATCAGTAGGAGCACCTAGTCATTTCTCAGTCGCATGTGGACTATGGATGACACTTTCTAAACCTTACTCTTTTTCTATTGTTAGATAAATTTTCACAGAAAGCTGCCTTCTGCCACCCAAATATTTAACTTCTGAAAATATTTTAGAATAAACCAAATATAAATAAGAGAGTGGATCTGCTATTGAGACGAAATATATTCTAAAATCACACACATATGACTTCTGGATGAATTGCTGTTTCTGTCTGCAGTACTTTTCTATTGATGCAGGTCATTAAGAACAAACTGCCTACAATGTTGATAACTAAGTTCACTTTGTAATCCTAATGTAGCCCACTGCTTTACCCAAGTGTCCTAATTTAAAGAGAGGTTAGTAGGAAGAGTCTAGTTTCCATAAGCCCTTCTAAAAGGGATGCCAGACCTCTCCTGCATAAATTAGTATTATTAACTTACTGGAAATAAAAATAGTGTATCAAAATGTTCCCATGGGGAAAAGGTATGCACAAAAGCTCTTTGTAGCCAAACACAGGATTACAGCATCAACTATGTTTGCCATCTTTAAAGCTATTCTTTCTATTTAAAAACATACCAATTTTGTGATATATGGCTTTTGAGATCGTGGTCTGGTATAAACTTGGGATGATAGAGACTATTGTATATCTAGAATCAACCCACCTAGCACTGGTGGCCAATCCATAAAGATTGCTGAATGAAAGAATACTTGCTGACCTCAACAATGTCAATGTTTCATTTTCTAACAACGTTTACTTATGTTCTCTATGTGGTACTTACTATATTCCTGGAAGCAACATGACATAATCAAATGCCTCCTTTGGAAAATAAAACAATACCATAAAAAAATCCAAGTGAACTATTTTTGATGGGCATTTGAGAAAACCTACAATGAACAAAGTTGATAATGGCTCTAGGAATGTAGATTAATCAAATATGATGACATCTGAAATATTGAAACCTTTATTTACTTATTAATAAACATCACAGAGGGAAAAGAGACACTCTAGGGACATAAAGTAGGTAAATATAAATATTTGCTATTTTTAGTCTAATTTAAAAACTTTTATCAGTTGAACTTGCTCCAAGTTATATGAAAAGAACTCATATATAGAAGACAAAGACATATTTTTCCAAGAGAAAGAAGTAAATAGATGTTTAATTCCACTACACCTCCAAAATTGAAAGCTGTTGTGAGTGACTTTCCTAACACTATGAAAATTAATTGACTATGATTAGAAGCAAAGGCAAGAATTTCATAATGAAGACAAAGTATAGCAGCTTCCTTTAAACACATGAATCCATGCATACATGCACTATTGCTATTTTAAAACTTGGGCTGAATTAAAATAACTTACCTGACACAACAGTAATAAGAATCTTAGCATTGGCACCTAAGAGACTATGGAAGAATTTCAAGGTAGCTGGGATGTCTTTTACATAATACAGCATCTGGAAAGGCGGAAAAAGAGAAATGAGATGCTTCTCTACATTGAAGTTTTATTGCTTGGACTAGATACTCACTAGAAAGTTTGATTTTCCAGCTGAGTGTATTTTTACCCAATAAAACCCTTAAAAAATTTAAAAACTGATTTTTATATGTATTATATGGAGAGATAGAAAAATAACGTGAGAAATATTTGGGAAAAGGGAAAACTATAGTATTTGCTCAACTAGAGTCAAATGGTTTTAAATTTACTCTTTCTGGCTTCCATAACATAGACATTTATAGCTGCAGACACTTAGTCACCATTCCACATGGGGACATTGATCCTATGCCTATTCTATAATTTGTGAATTGCAGTCGTTCTGGGAGAAAATGGTTCCGGCACCATAAAAACAGACCCCATTTCATGGAACGTTGCTTTAAAATTAAGCCCTCTGCACTAGCTTCTCCATATGCTCACAGACGCTTTTTTAAAACTACAGAAAAATGTGACAGGCCCTGATGTTGAGAGATTCTCTAGGAAATCGTACTGGATAAAGCATGAAGTTCCATACTTGGTCACAGGGTGTCAGGGACCAGCCCACTCATTTTTAATAATTTTGGACCACTTCCCTGGTGAAGTGCAGGCCTTTCCACCCAACACATAGAGCGTGGAATTCTGCATTGGTAGTGGGAAATTTTCCCTAATGTCTTGCATCCCTGAACTCCACCCAACAGACACTTCTTATATCTCATCTTCATGTCTTTTGGATAAGAATTCAATATTCAGGGTAGCATGTCTGTAACAGAATTCATTGCATAAAGGCAAAACAATTTAAACTATGCCTCTTGCACATGAATGAATGACATAATATAGCCCTACACATGGTCCATGGTACTTCAGGAGTCACACTTTACATTGTCTATCACAGGGACCATAGATAGGTAGCCAAGAACAGGTTATCCATAAGATGGCTAACCATCTGCGACATGACCTGGCTAAAAATGAGGAATTGGGCCATCACAGATACTCAAATTTTTCTCTATGAGACAGTGAGATTTTCCAGGTTGACAGTGAATATTAAGTTGAAAAAATGTCATGAGAGTGTTATAACTGTAAGGGGCAATGAATAGGCAGAGACACTGCACAGAAAAACGTGGAGTAGACAAAGAGAGAGAAAGAGAGGACTAGAAGAGTGATGTAGAGGGAAACAGAGTTACTGTAAGAAAGAAAGAAGGTGAAGGATGAGTTTCCATCTGACGGTTTCTATTTTCTCAATACAGTATAAAGTGAGGTCATCTGTTCAAAATGAGTGGTCAGGGAGACATTGCAGGAGGAGTAACAAGAGAGGGGAACTGTGAAATAGTTACTTGAGGAAGTGAGAAGGAAAGCAAGTCTACTAGAGAAACATCCTTGCTAGGCAACGTGAAGTACTCCCTGATAGTCAAAAGATGTTGTCAGCTAAAGGAAGAGAGAGGTAGGATTGCCTGGATATGTCAATGTGCAGTCATTTCTTCCTGTGATTTCTTGTAAATTTATTCCTTTGGGGTAACTATGGTTGTGGACTATAGGAATAAAAGAGTGTTTTCTTGTTAATCAAGTGGTATTTCCAAAATATGCACATCTCCTGATGGTAGCTAACTCCCAAAGCCTATACATCCCTCATCCCTTATGCTACTCAGAAATACCAGTGATCCTAGAAATCCAGCCCCATGCCATTTACTCAATAGTTACCACCTTTCCAAGAATGCATGAGTTAGTCTGTTGGTTCTGGACAGTGGAAGTAAAATTTTATTGATCTGAGACATCATCTAACCTGCCCCTTTGGCCATATGTCCACTAGCCAGGCCACCCACAGGGAAACACAAGATAATTGAGAAACGCTCTGGGACTTTTGTCCATCCAATTACATCTTTTAGAAAAACTCTAGGACATTGGTCTGCCTAGTCCATTAGACCTATTGGAGAAATATGTAGGACATGTTACCACTCTATCATCCTCAAATCTACATATAAACTTTCAATGCTAGAAAAATGAATCAAGCCAACATTTTCAAAAATTGGTAACTGTGGAAGTATAGTGAGTAGAGAAAACTGGCTTAGTATTATCAACATCTTTATCCTCTACTTGAACAGATCATGGTCACTTGCAAAATTAGAAATCAGAAGATTTTTCATTTTTCTTTTAAAAGTTAGAATAATGGGCATTCTTCATACATATTCCTGAAGAATGTTCTTTCTGAG